AAATATTCTTTTAAAAATCCAGGTTTGAATGGTCTTTGGAAAAAATATTCTTTAAAGTCTTAAAGAATAAAAAATCCTCGTATTTTATTAAATACACCTTAAATCAACGGATTCCAAATAATATTATTGTTCTTTGTTCTTTTATTTTTGAAGGTTCTTTTGCATACACACACATACACATTTGCATGATGTTGCTGGTACATTTGGTTTTTGAAGTTTTTCCCAACTATGCGTTGCTTTGAAGTTTATTATTATTGCAATGCTGTTCGTTGTCTCTCTCTCTGGCCAACAGCTGAAAAATTAAGAAAAGTGAATGGCAAGCCATTGGAAATATTTTTTAGATAATTTAAAAAACGAAGTTTAGCGGTCGTGATTTACGTAAAAAAAATGTTAAAAGTCTCGTTAAGACCGTAATAACCTTTAGGAAATATTATCGAGAAATCGTTTTTTTTAAATTCTCACAGTAGTACAAGAAATATTCTAAAAGTTCCATGGGCTATTGAGCTCTGGAAGACCTTCAAGCTGTTAAAAAACATTCGGGCTCATAAAATTGAAATATTTTAAAAACATTTTTAAAATGTTGACCTCTTAACAGAAAGGACCATTGCTTCAGTGCAAAGGACCTTTTCACAACATCATGGTCATATATGAAATTAATATGCTCTATAAAAACACCAAAAAAATTAATTCACTTGGACATTCTAAAAAAAAAACAGAACAAACAACCTTTTCCTTCGTTTCTAAATCGAAATTTTTGTAACACCATATAGCTCGGGCGCCATTGGCTATCAGACATGATATCGATGTTCAATTTCTTCAGCCATTTTTTTAAATTCTCACACTATTACATGAACTATTCTCAATATTCCATGGATATTTGAGCTCTGAAAGTCCTTCAAGTTATCAAAAAACATCCGATCTCATAAATGTTGACTCTTTAATATAAAGGACCACTGCTTAAGTGTGAAGGACCCTTTTCACAAAATCATGGTGATATATGAAATTAATACGCTCTGTAAGACCACCAAACCAAAATCCATTCACCTCTACATTCTGTAAAAACCAAAACAAACAAATATGGCCTTCGTTTGTAAAACGACATTTTTGTAATACCATATAGCTTGGGCGCCATTGGCTATCAGACAAGACATCGATATTCAATATCTTTAGCCATATGATGCTTTTGCTCGGCCATTGACCATCGCCACCACACATTGTTCCTAATGAAAGACATAAATTATAATTTCTTTGTTTCACATGCCGTCGACACGACAAACAAAGTGTGAATGTCATGGCTGGCACGAGGTTCGATTCATATGCGAAATAGCCAAGAAGGAAAAAGAGGAATTCTTAGAATAAAACAACGCCATTCACCATCGAGTGCATTTCAAATTCTGACGAAATAATCGACGAAGAACAACGTAAACAAATTGCGTTGAATATTCGACTGGCAGGCAGACGGGCAGTTCCTTTGTGTCCAATCATATTCCGCATTTAAGTGGATGATTAAAAGAAGGCTGTGGCGTGTTCTTTGGGTATTTCAAGGGGCATTTTTTTATCTAGTGATTAACAAATAAACAACTGAAATATTAAATTGGTGCTATTTATGGAGGAGAAGGTGTTTCCTTAGATAAAAGACCACACATAAAGTTTATTCTGAGACTTATGGAGACATATTGTGTAGAATATGTCTTCTTTTCAAACTTTCTGTCTAAAACGAACTTTTATTTAACTTTTCGGCATGTGAAAAACATGAGTTTTTGGAAATTATTTGATTTTTAGATTGATTTAGACACAGAGAATCTAGCACACAGTTACAGACATCTGATTAGAAAAATAAACAAAATACATAAGGTCGGCGTCGGAACTTGGCGAGATTTTGTAAATTTTGTTACATGTTTAAACAGTATTGTTCCTGATGATGTCTTCCGTTGGAGGACGAAATATCGAAAATAATAAATAATTAAACAACAACAAAGACCTCGAGCTCGCTTTTTATTAAATTTATATTTATAACAGTTTTTGGATATCCCTACTAAGGGTACGAAATGCTAAATGTACCAAAAATGTACTACTGTGTATTGGACAAACGGAATGAGCTGGAATTCTAAAATTTAAAATGAGAACAGGATAGATGTATCAAAGATTTTTTTAAAAAACGTTAAGGTTACAAAATGTCCTAAAATAGTACTAAACTTCTTAAATGGTACCTTTTGGTATTTTGTTAACGGGTAGAGTTTAAAAATTGACATTTGGTATGAGAAACAAAGTTGGAGGGTAAGTTTGATGCGTGAAGGAAATTTTGGAAATGTGAACTTAATGTAAGAACTAAACTATTACTAAATGGTGCCAAATTTGGTAATTTGGTACAATTTCTTTTTTAGGTGAACGGAAGAAGCTGGTAATTTGAAATGTTGGTATTGGGGCCACTGCTGGTGGGTAGGGTTCGGATCAAGAGTTGGGGTTGGAAATGCGTTCAGCAAGTGTTCGAAAGTTACTAAATGGTACTGAGATATTGTAAATGTGTACTATAAGTGCAGGAAAAGTACCATATTTGGTACGATTTAGTATTCGGTGAAGAGATAGTGCTTGAAAACTGAAATTTGTTATTAGAGTCGGTGTTCATGGGTAGCTTGGAAAAATGGAGGTGGCTTCTGTCGCAGTGACCGAAAAATGACTCATGAGATGAACATCCCATTCGGCAAATATTGAAAAATGAGCTCGGGGTAAAGCCATTGATATTCCAAAAAGTCCAAGAACTTAAAACGCAACAGAAAGAAAATAGAAAAGAGCTAAAGAGTTGCTTCGCATGGCCGAAAGTGGTGAACTGCCGAATTTGGTTTTCTCCGATCACATTCGTTGTCCAGCAGTTTATAAACAAACACAATGATCGTGTTTACTTGCCATAGAGGTCAGCTGATTATGTGCACCTTCGGTTGGCCACCAGAACTCAAGCGCCGGCCATGGAGATGGTGTGGGCCAACATAACAGCCGATTGTCGCTCTCCGCTCGTATTAATCGAACTTGGCGAAAATATTTTGGAGGGTGAATTAAAGCCTTGTACACGCAAACATTTTGGCGCAGACCTTGGACATTCCAACAGGACCCAAGAATGGTTACAAAATGAGGTTCCTCGCATCATTTCCAGCACACAATGCTCACCAAAATCTAAGGTTGGCACAAAAAAATACCAAAGTGTCGATCACATCAAGCAAGCGCTGCGCCGTGAAGTGGCCAAAATATCATAGAGCAACATTCGGGCAGCGTGTGACAGTTTCATTGGCCGTTTGAAGTCCATAATTCGTGCCAAAAGTGACCAATTCAAACAAATCGAAACTTTTTCTAGAATTTGATCCTATTTCCGACATTTTTTCTTTCATTCAATAAATTTTAAAAAAAATTAAAAATTATGGCGATTGACTTTGTTGCAGTTTTTTTTTAAATCAACCTGTATAAGAACTAAACTAGTACTAAATGGTACTAATGGTATTTTGACTCTGTCTTGTCCTATCTTTACACTTCTATGTCTTTGCTGAAACCCTGGACAAAGACGTAGAAGAGCTGTTACTCTCAAAGACATAGAAGTGTAAAGATAGGACAAGACAGAATCAAAATATGGTAACACTGTGAAAATACCTCTGTTGTTACGATATCATAACAACATAGTTACCAATGTTAACTGATTTAAACCGCTAAGGCAATATCCAAATTTTGGGAAAGGCCCATGGAGTAGAATTTTGAAACCAAAATTTTGGATTTTTCAAATTTTTATTTGTTATCCGTTTCTGTAATTGTGGTTTTTATATTAACATGTCTTTGCCATGAGCTGTTACTCTATGTATTGTAGACACAAACCATTTGCTCAAAATGCATTTTGTCTAGTCTTTACCATTTTAGGTCTTTGCCCTGGAATGTGATATAGATGTCCATTTTGGTATCAGTGGTTAAGATAGAAGGTGTTTTTTTTTAAATGGGCACTATAATTGTACGAAAGGTACTAAATGGTACTTAATTTTGGTAATGGATGAATGGATATGACTGGGATCCTCATATTTAACATTGACATCTCTGTTCGTATCTGGAATTTAAATATGGAGGTGGTTTTTTAAATGTGTACTATAATTGTTCGAAAAGTACTAAATAGTGCTTAACTTGGTATTGGGTGAAATAATAGGGTCGAAATCATGAATTTTGATATAGATGTTACTGTTGGTGTCTGTGGTTTAGATATGGAGGTGGTTTTGGAAATGTGTACTATAATTATTCGAAAAGTACTAAATGGTACTAAATTGGGGATTGGAATCCTGAAATTTTATTTGAGGTCTTCGTTACCATTTGGAATTACCATATGGAGGAGGTTATGAAAATGTGTACTATAATTGTACGAAATGGTACTTAATTGGATATTGGGTAAAGGAATGGAGAAATAGAGCTAAAATCCTGAAATTTGATATCGATGTCACTGTTTGCTAAGATAAAAATGTGATTTTGGAGATGTATACAAAATTTGTACAAAATGGTACCACATTTGGTATTGGGGAAATTAAAGAGCTGAAATCCTTGAAATTTGATATTAAAGTCACAGTTGATAAACTGAACTAAATTTGGTATTGAGTGAAGGGAAAGAGCTAAAACCCCGAAAAACCTGAAAACCACATGTGGCCTTTTTCCTGATGCTGTTCTTGAAGTAATCTGTAAATCCAATCGAATTGGGAAATATTTTGAAAATAACAATAAAAATAGTTGGAGCTTATTTTATTTAAATCGGGTTTAGGTGGTTCATCGACACTAAGTTTCAAAAAAAAAAAAAAAAAAACAAACACACAAATTTGAAACTGCAATAATATGCTAAGCCAACGACCTTGAAATTTTGAATGTCTTCAACTCATAACACAAAATTCCAAAAAAAAAGAATCCCGCACGTTATCAAATGTTTAGTTGAAATTTAGCAGTGAATCAGAATAGTTTATTTTTTGCAAAAATAAAAACATCTAAAAATAATGGAACATGTTTGGAGATTAGTGGTGGTTCTGATGGTCTCCCAATTCAGTTTGGTCCGCAGTGATCAAAATGTCACCGTGGAGGAGGTACTCAAACCCATGGCAATGGCCATCGACAGCTTCCGTGTAAATTCAACAGATAATGTCAATGATAAACTGCGCCGGCAGATTGAAGAGTCCCGTGATTGGAAGACAATTCCATGTGACAATTTCCTACACCATGCCTGTGGCAGTTGGCCATATTTTATGGAATCACAGGTATTCGATGTTCTTCATATAATCGATGCCAAATTTAATGAGGAGTTACGTGAGATTTTTCAAAATCATAATCCACGAAGGCCGGAAATGAATTTTATGCGACAGGCCCGTAACTATTATGAATCCTGTATGGCTGTGATGGCGGAAGGGAAGCCTTTGAATCCCATGGAATATTTAAAATGGTTGCAGTACAATGAAAACTTACATTGGGTGCCATATGGTGGGGAAGTACGAAACCATTCCATACACAGAAATTGGGTAAAAATGTTGGCCATATTCCGGAAATATGGTTTGAATAATTTCATATTGCTGGAGGAGGCCATGCAACATCCCTGGAATAATACAAAAATGATATTGGCCATAAAGCGACCCTATGCCGATCATCCCGAACATTATTTGGGGCCCTTGGAGAGTGAACAACGGAAATTTACTTTAAGAAATATTTCAGATCTGGAAAATCATCAAAAATATGTGGATTTCGATTTGCAACTAAAACAGCTGGTGGACTATCATACCAATGTCAGCGCCAGCCAGCCGCAAATGGTGACATTTGGCCAATTGAAACACATGCAAATGTCATGGTTGCAACAGTATTTAATTGTGGCCCTGCATCCGCTGCAAATTGATCCTGACTGGGAAGTTTTCATTGAAGATGGGAATTATTTGAAAACGCTTAAACTTTTCCTAGACGAAGTGGATGATGAGAAATTTTTGGCTCAGTATTTGCAATTGAATTTTCTTAGCAGACTCAGCTATTCTCAAACCGATGGTGGCCACTATGAGTGCATGCAAAGCACCCGCCACCTGTTTCCCCTGGTCATGCAGTGGCTGTACAAACATCATCACCGCGAAATAAGTTTTGAGTTTTATAAATTACAGCTATTATTTTCAAATTTGAAGAGGAATTTGAAAAAACGCTTAAATCGCACTTTGGAAAATCCAGCTCTGGAGGTGGCTATAAATAAATTGAATAATCTTAAATTGCAAATCATAGATGTCTGGCAACCGGCCATTGAACACTTGTATTCCGATTTATGGTTGGATCCTTTCGATTTTGTAGGAAATCGTTTGAAACTCCAACACAAACAAGTTCAAAGCCAACACTCCCATCTGGGTGATGTGGTACAACGTGGAGCCTTGGAATTTCTACAGCTGCAGCGTCGTGATATTGCCGAAAGTCCATTGCCTTTTTCTGTGCCTCGGCAAAACTTAATTGTTCTACCCGTTACGGCTCTACAATTTCCTCTCTATCATCCCCAACTCCAGCAATTATTCGTCTACAGTTCGCTGGGTTATGCCATGGCCCGTGAAATTGTCAGCTTCTTCAGCGATCCCCAACGACAGCAGATTGATGCCAAAGGTAATGTGAATTTAAAATTAAGGGATTATTTCCAAAATCTCACCCTAACGGAAGATCACAAAATTGCTGGTTTTGCCTTGGATTTGGCCTACGAAACTCTCAGCGTCATACGAGCCGTGAGTCGTGAAGAAGTCAAGCTGTTTCTATTAAATTTTGCCCATAACTATTGCAGTAATTACATGAAGTTTGGAGATAACCTAAAATTGGTCAACGAAGTATTTGAAAGGTTCTCATCAACACGGTGGAATGTTTTTGGGTGTTATAAAGAAGAATAGTTTTATTTAAACAAAATATTAATAAAATAGTTTTCGAAAAAAAAAAAAAAAAAAAAAATTAAAAAATCACTTGTTTCTCTAAACCATGTTATTACAGGGTGAGAAAAAAAACTGCAAAAAAGTCAAACGCCATAATTTTTACATTTTTTTTTTTAATTTTTTTTTTGAATGAAAGCAAAAAATTTCGGAAATATCATCAAATTTTAGAATAAGTTTAGATTTGTTCGAATTGGTCACCTTTGGCACGAATTATGGCCTTCAAACGGCCAATGAAACCGTCACAACCTGCCCGAATGTTGCTCTGCGGTATTTTGGCCCATTCCCGGCGAAGCGCTTGCTTGAGGTGATCGACACTTTGGTATTTTTAGTGCCAACCTTGATTTCCAAAATACTCCTGACACAACAGTCCAATGGATTTTTATCCGGAGTTTTTGATGGCCATTGTGCGCTGGAAATGAAGCGAGGAACCCTATTTTGTAACCATTCTTGGGTGGCACGTGCTGGGTGCGATTGTGCTGAGTCCTGTTGGAATGTCCAAGGTCTGTCACCAAAATGTTTGCGTGCCCAAGGCTTTAATACACCATCCAGAATATTTTCGCGATAATATTCGTACTTTATTCTGATGCCACGGTCGTTTAATACAAGCGGAGAGCGACCATCGGCTGTTATGGCGGCCCACACCATCACCATGGCCGGCGCTTGAGTTCTGGTGGCCAACCGAAGGTGCACATTGTCAGCTATCCTCTTTGGCAAGTAAACACGCTCATTTTGTTTGTTTACAAACTACAGGACAACGAATGTTTTCTCATCGGAGAAAACCAAATTCGGCCAAGCGAAGGAATTCTTTAGCTCTCTTTTCCTTCTGTTGCGTTGTAAGTTCTTGTACTTTTTGGAATTTCAATGGCTTTACCCCGAGCTCGTTTTTCAATATTTGCCGAATGGAATATTGCGATATGTTCAGCTCGCGAGCCATTTTTCGGCCACGAGCCATTTTTCGGCGACGTAGGTTTCGATCAAGTCGCTTCCTTATTTTTGGAACCATTTCTGCTGATATTGCTGTTTTCTTCCGTCCACTTCCTTGACGTCGGGCTACGCTACCAGTATCACGGTAGTAAGAGATGGTACGAGACACAAAAGATTTATTCACATTTAATTGCTGGAGTGCTCTAACGATAACCACTTGTGGTTTTCTAGCCAAATATAAAGAAATCAAACTATCACACTTGAATTCAATCACGAATAAATTTTTTTCTGGAAAATTCTCACCAAAATGCTTTTGTACGCTTGTAAACAATATATTGAGCTGTCACTGGAATAATTTTAACAGCTGTCGGACGAGTGGCTTAGAAATGAAAGCAGTCTGAAGTGGGTTGCAGTTTTTTAATCTCACCCTGTATTTAACCCCAAAGCGATTCAACAAAGGGTTCTTCTTATATCGAGAACATCGAGTACCTCCGGTTCCATAAAATATGGCCAACTGCCACAGGCATGGTGTAGGAAATTGTCACATTGAATTGTCTTCCAATTACGGGACTCTTCAATCTGCGGCCGCAGTTTATCATTGACTTCTCTTGTATTTACACGGAAGCTTTCGATGGCCATTACCATGGGTTTGAACACCTTCTCCACGGTGATATTTTGATCAACTCGAACAAAACTAAATTGGGAGACCATCAAAACCCAAACCACCAATAATCTCCAAACATTTTCCATTATTTTTAGATTATTTATTTTTGCAAAAATTAATTATTCTGATTCACTGCCAAATTTCATCTAAACATTTGATTACGTGCGGGATTTTTTTTTTTTGGAATTTTGTGTTATCAGTTGAAGACATTAAAAATTTCAAGGTCGTTCGCATACACAGCATATTATTGCAGTTTCAAATTTGTTTCTTTATTTTTTAAAACTTAGTGTCGATAAAACGCTTTAACCCGGTTTAAATAAAATGAACTAGAAATTGTTTATACCCTCCACCATAGTGTGGAGGGTATATTAAGTTTGTCATTCCGTTTGTAACACCTGGAAATATACAATTTAGACCTCACAAAGTATATATATTCTTGATCAGCATAAAATTCTATGCCGATTTAGCGATGTCCGTCCGTTTGTCCGTCTGTGGAAATCTCTCTAGCTACCGAACGAATTGAAGTAGATTGAAAAAATTTTACTCAAATGTATATTATGTCTGCAGGACTTTTGGTATTGGAAATGGTTCGGTATTTTTGTGATTAAAGCGACATTATTCACCGGAAATGTTTCAAATTTGGTATATGAAGATCGTAATGGATACTACAGCCTATGACAGAAAATAGTCTGTGTCCGGTCCATGCCTTCGTATAGCTTCCATATAACGATACCTCCCGATATTCGGTATTTTGATGATTTTAGCGACACTATTCACCGGAATTATTTCAAATTTGGTTTTGAAGTTCGTAATGGATACTACAGCCTACGACAGAAAATTGTCTATACAGGTCTACACCTTCGTATAGTCCCTATATAATGGTACCTCCTCCCGATATTCGGTATTTTTATGATTTTGCCGACATTATTCACCGGAATTGTTTCAAATTTGGTATTTGAAGTTCGTAATGAATACTACAGCCTAAGACAGAAAATTGTCTGTGCAGGTCCACGTTTTCGTATAGTCCCCATAAAACGGTTCCCACCGATATTTGGTATTTTGATGATTTTAGCGACGTTATTCAACGGAATTGTTTCAAATTTGGTATTTGAAGTTTGAAATGAATACTACAGCTAATAACAGAAAATTGTCTGTGTAGGACCACGTCGTCGTATAGCTCCCACATAACGCTACCCCTCGATATTTTGATGATTTTGGTGAAATTTTTACCGGAATTGTTTCAAATTTAGTATTTGAATTTCGTAATGGATACCACAGCCTATGACAGAAACTGTCTGTGCAGGTCCACGTCTTCGTATAGCCCCCATATAACGGTACCTTCCTGATATTTTTTAAAATGTAGGGACATTTTTCAACGGAGTTGCTTCAAATTTCGTAATGGGTACTACAGTCTATAACAAAAAATTGTGTATCCAGGTCCAGGTATTCGTATAGCCCCGATGTAACGGTACTTCCCTGTATTCGGTATTTTGATGATTTTAGCTGCATTATTCACCGATTTTGTTTTCAAATTTCGCTTTTGAATATTGTAATGGCTTATAACAAAAGTTGCCTATGCACGTCCACGTCGTCTTAATAGACCCTAATTCGGTATTTTTTAGGATTTTTACAGCATTTTTAACGGATTTTATTTTTTTTTGAAAATTGCCAAATTCGTTCCAAATGGTGGAGGGTATTAAATGTTCGGCCCGGCCGCTGTAAGTTTTTGTTTTATAACATTTTTTGGGATTGTGGAAACTTCCAGGAGAAAGATCAAAATCTCACGTTTGATACAGACTCATATAAAGATATTATTATTTTATTTAAAATTATTTTGGTCTTCTAAGCCATAATTTGCAATCGATTTGTCTCACTTGAAATTTATCCTACTTTGCTGATTGGCTGTTGCGCAGTGAAATTTTAAGAAAAATCTCACCAAATTCCGAAAAAAACTGGTAAATCTTCCAAAATTACAAATTTTATTTTAATCAAATTTGATGATATATTATCATGTTAAGAGATTTATTTTTTCGAAAACTCATAATGGAAATATTTATAGCTCAACTTCTTGTAAGGCAGAATAAATTTGATAGGGTTGATTCTGTAATATCTTTAAATTTTTGCCCATATAGAAATCTACAAATCTTACCTCGAGAATGTAACTTTTTTGTCCTGTCGAAGATCTGAAAAAAAAGAAAAAATTAAATTTCACTTTGTCTGGCAGATATTTCAAAAATTCCTACTTTCGAACAACAACGGCAATTGGTTTGTAAACAATATCCAAATAAACAATTCATGTTATTTATTTTTATATTTTTGGTTTTCGAAATTCTTTTTATAAACCAAACAATATTTTATTTACAAATTATTGCTCAGGTTTGTTGCCTTTTACTGATGGCGGGACACACAGTGGTGGGAAGTGAAGCAACAAATTTAGAATTTTACAAAATACAAAATTTTAAGTCTTTATAAATCGGATATGGGTCTCAAAGCCGCTCCACAAAGGTTTGAATTCATTTTTTGGGAATTCAAAATTTTATAAAATTCTAATAATTTTCCCAATATAATTTATGCCGTGCCACTGTTAAAAAAGATTAAAAAATTGTTAATAAATATTTTTTTCAAAATTTCGAGTTTTTATAAATCAGGAATCTCAAAATTGATAGGTTTGAATTAATTTTTTTGGGAATCAAAAATTTTATAATATTCCAATATTTTCCCCCAGTGCACTATGGGTAAAAAGCATGATTTTTTGGCATAAAGTCATTTTTTTTGGTTTCATATTTTGAAATTTAACTTATTTCCTAAATGTAGATACCCATATTAGAAAAAAAAATGTTTAATATCAATACGGGTGGCAACCCTTTTTTGCTGGCGAGCTTTTAAAGTCAGCTGTTTGAAAGTCACTTTGTTTTGGTACAACTGGCGGTAAAGATCAGCTAAGTTCAAGTGCTTCTGATTTGACAAAATTGAAAAAAATAAAATGTGTAATTATGGAAAACGTTAGTGCAGGTATGTAAAATTAAGACGAGGTGCCCTTTTTGTCATAATTGTCTGTTGTTGTAATACTGTGAATTGTTTCGTTTATGTATAGCTTTATATAAAATCTATAAATTGTAGTTGTGTTCCGTGGAGTGTAACTTGTGAATGGCAAAGCATTGCAAAAAGATATAAATGCCAAGTTATTAACAAAAGTGTGTTAATTAATGAGTAACTAGCCTTTTTTGTTCTATTTTGTGCCAACACGTGTTTTGCAGATAAACATGTGTTTGTCCATGCAGCGCTCATTGAAATTTGGAGGAGCAACAATCGCTCAGAAGATGCACTTGTGAAATATGTGTTACAGAATATCAATAATATCAGTTTAAATGAA